AAAAGGAGTCGGGAGCAGTTGCCGGTAAGCGCGAAAAACCGCGCGTGCCCAAAAAGGGCGCGAAGCAACAGAAACCCCGCCTCCTGCGCTCGCCACCTGGGCTCTGCTCTAGGCAGGAGGCTCTGGCAACCACTCCCGAAACAATTGCCTTGAAAATTGCAAGGACTTGTCCAAGCAGTCACTGCAGAGTCGGTAACGACTTAGCACAGATAAAAAAATAAATAAATAAAATGTTATGCAGAAAACACTATGAAACAACTGTAACAAGCAAGCAGTCAGACCATAAAAAGCAGTGGCAATTATCTGGGTTCTTTCAAAAATAAATTTTGTGAGTAAATTTTCTGAAATTTACGTTTGACATTTAAATAGAATTGTTGTGATCTTACGCTAAGTAACAACTCAAACGAAACTAACCTTGCTATAAGCCACATTATTTGAAATGCTTGATACAACGTACTTAGACAATATAAATATTTACAGATCTAACTTTCAGCTCAGTATAATTCCATGTCCAGTAATTTACACAGAAATTCATTTCTACACTTTGTTTTCTGTAAAGCTTCTCATATGTTTCATGGTGGCAGTTTCATTCCGTTGCCTGCTCAAGGATTATATATATTCCTTTTCTTTGTGGAAATTGTTGCACACGTTTAAAAAAAAAAAAAAACAACCAATCTTTTTTGTCCTTAATTTTTTAGGAATCTGGGTTGCAACCATAGAAAAAGAAGTGTGGGATGGAAACTATTTCCGTTGCCTGCTCAAGGATTATATATATTCCTTTTCTTTGTGGAAATTGTTGCACACGTTTAAAAAAAAAAAAAAACAACCAACCTCTTTTGTCCTTAATTTCTTAGGCATCTGTGTTGCAACCATAGAAAAAGAAGTGTGGGATGGAAACTATTTCCTGTAAATGTTAAGTTAGGACATGAGTAGTTACAGAAGTTAAAGGTGCAAACAGAGCCCTGACAACAATTTAATGAAAGAGGACTCAGGAAATAAAGGAAGTGACAATTAACATTTACAGAAGGCACAAATATTTTGTGGTGCCCACTGTTGATGTGCTATTTTCCACCAGCTTTGATTCTCTTACTACTAATACTTCTTTTGCTTTATTTTCAGTTATATATTTAATACTACATTCCAATAAAGCTGCTCCCATTCAAAGAGACTTTTCTATGCACATTCTAATTTGTGCTAAGCATGGATGGCATAGTAGAGCATTCAAAACAAAAATACAAAAAACTATTATGTATGCCATCCTTGAGGGAAGCATTGGGATGTTCAACTGCTACACAGTTCACCTGAAAATTGCTCATAGCTACTTGACTGGCTCAACTCTTCTCTGGCCTTGAGAAGTACAAAGGCTTTCCATTCAGGGAGAAAGGGTCAACAGCATTCACAGGCAGCTAATGGACCACCCAGTTGCCAGCACTCTGAGAAATGTGAGAATGTTTTAATAAGAATTTAGGACAGGGCAGAGAAGAGAAAGAGAAATACTTTGCTTCAGGCCAATTTTCAGTTTTATAGTAGGATGCAATACAGGTAGTCCTTGGGTTACAACTATTCGTTCAGTGACCATTCAAAGTTACGATGGCGCTGAAAAAATGGACTTACAACTGGTCCTTGAAGTTCTGGCCATTGTAGCACCCCCATGGTCACGTGATCAAAATGCTGGCCAGCCCACATTTATGATGCCCCACTGCCGTCGCCCCCAGCTGATCTTTGTTGTCTTCTTAGCTAGGCTTGCCAATTCTGGCTGGCCTCAAGCGCTATGGTGTGGGGGCTCTGTCGGCCATGCTGTGCAGGTGCCCCCATCTCCCCTTCCGGTCGCCTTGCCATACAGGAAGCCCTTAGCCAAGTAGCTGCCAGGAATCGCTGCCAGGCATCCCAGCCATGTGCAGGGGAGGCACCATAGAAATGTCCCCACTGCTGCCCAGCGGGAGGATTCCCCACACGGCAGTTGCATGCAGAGGACTCGCAGCCCAGGCCCCTTCCCTTTCCTTCTCGGTAGGGTGGCGGCACTCACTCATCTGCACTCCCTAGCACCTGCCCGCGGCACCTGCCCCCCACCTGGTTTGGCTGGGACTCCCATCTCTTCGCATGTCACAGTCACGTGAGGTCCCACTTAATGATCCATGCAGTTCTGGGGTTATGACGGCAACTGGGACTTCTGGGATTGCCACCACTAAGCAATGCGGTCACTTCACACTGCACTTTATGACCACATTGCTTAGGGACAGCAATTCTGGTCCTGTTTGCTGTCGTAACCCAAGGACTACATGTACTAAATTACATTTCATTTAAAGTAAGCCATCTTAAGGATAAGATAAAGTTCAACAATATCACTAAAATAATAGCACCCCCTACATCTTTATATGAAAAGTGTATTTGGCAATAAGTCAAATAAGAATGCCAGAAAAGAGCCAGTATCTCCTTTATCATAAGATTAATATTAAATTTGCAAGGAACATCCGATATATAAGGTTAACCTACTTTCACTGTTACTGATCATCATAGAAGTACTGTCTTATTATTAATAATCAAAAGTTTTAAACATATGGTCACACAATGAGACTGTTTAAAGCTATAAAATTTTCTCACTGAATAATTTAAAAGTAAGAACTGGCAGAGAATATAGTTGGCTGAATACAAATTGCATGCATCTTATACATGCCAATGGACTACAGATACTTTTTTAGCCCATCTCATTAAGGCAATCCTATAAGCCACTGTTATTTTTCACTCCCGAGGACTGCTCTGACCTATAATAGAAAGCTAATGAAGGATGCCTTAGCGATGATTTCCGAGCTGTTCTGCAAGCATTGCCTATAAGTTGTAGCAAAAATCTCTGCTTTGTTTTTCAAAAACATCACTTATTACCAAACCCTTTCATACATAGCTAGAACTACCTACCATTGTTTGAGTTCTCTGCTGATTCTCATTGTTTGGAGCATAGTAAAACACCAAAAGCCACAATAGGTTTGAGGATTCTGCTTGTGACAACAGCAACTGCTCTGCTGCAAGATCAGCCCATTCTCCAAAATGAATCAACAAAAACCAGTTGTTGAAGAGTTCATCTGAAGACCTGGAACAACATACAAATGTGTATCAGCCTTTCTATTTATTATACTATAAACTCTTAAGCTCTCAGAAGGCTCTAAACTGGAAATCATGAAGACTAGCAAACTTTTTTATTTGAAGAAGATCAATGTTAATTTTACACTAATGTCTTAAAATAATAGTTTTTCCTTGTAGTAATAAATAATATTTATTTATTAAATAAGAAATAATGAAAATAGTCTCTTGAAACGAATCATTTTTACTTGTTTCTCATACATTTTAGCAAATTACAAAAAAAGATCACTCACAACTAACTTAAGACAATTTTTAAAAACCAAGAAAGAAAACCAAGTCCACTGGTGCTTACTCAGAGCCCTTGACCTCTACTGTTGTTTTGAGCATTCCAGCAAGGTGGTCCAAATGTTGATATACACTAGTACCTGGCAAATCTAAAGGAGAAATATGAACACCAAAATTATGCATATTTTATATACATGGAAGAGAAACATAACACAACAAAGTATTTTTTACTTACTGAACTCATATTTACTTAGTGTCAGGTTCTGGTAAAATGGAAAAGTGTAAGTGAGCTTACCTGAGGGATGTTTAAGGAAAGCCATCACAAGTGAATGTGGATTATAAGGAAAATAGGCCTTCAGTGGAAACTTATGCTGAAATGAAATAAAAAAAAAACACACACACACATTCTAGTTATCTTATCAAGGACCTAAATCAATTTATGACAATTTTTAAAATTTGCCATATCAAATATGCATCTGTAGCACAAAACCTGCTTTCTGTACTTAAGGAAACCAACATTACTGGTTAGATTATTGCAATGCCATATATATCACAACTCAATGACTTTTTAATTAAATTTTGACATCCTTCAATAGTGTGAATACATGCAGAGAAATAGGTTCTTTAGCAGAGATTGTATAATTGGCCATTCAATTCTCTGTGACAAAATCCAGCAAAAAAAGCCTTATACAAATATGTAGTAGCATGAGAAAAGAAAACCTGTTTTACTACGCAGCATGAACAACAACAACAAAATTCCTTGAGGCAGTCTTTCTGCATGATTTGGGCTATAACTTTCACAACCAATAGCCAATTTTAGCTGTGGCTGGGGAAGGCTGCTTTAATGGGTCAGTATCCATTTAATGGGAAACAAAAGGAAGATATCAAAGCTCACAATTTTCATAACAACTATTGGAATCCACGTAAATTACATGACTAATAAAAAAAAAATCTGCAATGGGGCGAACAGCACCAACTTACAACCACAATTGGGACCAGAACTTTCATTGCTAAGCAATGCGGTTGTTAAATGAGTAATGGCCAACTTTACAACCTTTTTTGCCACAGTCTTTAAGCAAATCACTGTGGTTATTAAGCAGATCACATGGTTTTTAAGAAAATCCCGCTTCCCCCATTGACTTTGTTTGTTGGAAGCCCCCTGGGAATGTTGCAAATGGCAATCACATGACTCCGGGATGCTGTAAATGTTGTAAATACATACTGGTTGCCAAACACCCAGATTTTGATCACATGGCCGTGGGGATGCTGCAATGGTCGTAAGTGTGAGGAAAGGTCATAAGTCACTTTTTTCAGTGCCATTGTCGTTAAATGAATGGTTGTAAGTCGAGGACTACTTATATTCAGAGTTCCCACTCCAAATATTTCTCCAATTAGGGTGAATCAAAACACAACGACACATATGACTCAATGTCCGGAAATATAGAGCGACACATGATGGGATGAACAACTACACCTTCTCATTCTGTAACATATGTAAATCAAGATAAGAAATCATAAAAGTTTTTTTGTTAAATGAAAGTTGTGAAGGAAAGAAATTACTACTTCACTGAAGATGCTTGTAAGGCAGGAAAAAATGAAGAATTTCTTCGACACATGATTAACTTACTTAAAGAATTCATACCACAAATGGCTTTTAAAAGGATTAGGGGAAAAAAGCTTAATCCTTTATCAATGACTATTAGTAAGAACAAATTTTTCAATAGCTGAAGGTAGGAAACAAATCAACATGGGAGTTGGTGATTATATGATTATATTAGGCAATTACTTCATGGCTGGCTGCTGATGGAAACAATACAATGAAGTCAATGACAACTTAGCCTATATCAACAAGATAATTATTTTATTTTTGTTCATTCTGCCTTGATTGTACCACATGACAATCCTGCAAGCAAATATGCCTAGTAAATATTAAAAGATATACATATAAGGAGCTGGTAGAAGCCATGATGAGATCATGTGTGTCATCAAGATATCATACAAATAATGCAAATTAACTGATTTGGTCAGTCATGTCATTATGCAAATTATGCAAATGATATAATTGCATCATTTTCATGATAGCATATGACATGTGTAGTGTCACTTTCCCCCATGCCTCTCCTTATGGACACCCATGATTACACAAATGAACTCTTGCCCTAAATATGTTAGGAAACTTGCTATTAAGGCACATGCTAATAGTTTATTCATACAGTTTAGAAAACTGTCAAATATTCTGCAGTAGCTATATCATGGAGATGCACAGAACTCAAAGTCTGTTCATTAATACAGTAAAAACAAACAAAAAGCCAGAAAGCATTTCTGTCTGCCTGCATACTAAACCAATCCTAAACTCTTCCCTTCTCAAGTCATAACAGTAAAACTAAAAAGTTGCGCAAATAAAATGCCAAAAGACGTAGTTAACATTTTAAAAACAACAGTGAAACACATAAATAACAAAGTGATTAACATAGTTGGCTTCTGGCTATTTAAAGGGTGTGGAATCTAAGTTTAAGTTCCCCACCCAGCCACCCCATTCATGCCAAAGCAGCAAAATATTCATGCAAAGTAAGCAAAATTAATGGGTGTGGCACCTATACATATTAACTTAGACAGCTGCAATTTTATTCCTAATTCATACCCTTTGGAACTCAAAAAGAGATTTAATCACAATGCTAATTAGAATTAATTACTGCACCATTTGCAAGATGAATAACCACTAACGAACAGACCTCCCTTAAAACATGGAAAACCCACTGGAGCATCTGCTAAAGGAAATTCTTGAGCAGAAGAAACCTTGAAGTATTTGTGTAGCCCAAACTTTTCACAGCTACTTTAACTGACTAAAGCAAGAAGGAGCAATTACAAAGGTATTATAGAGAATAATACAAATTGAAGGACAGGTTTATATCAAATGAGGTTAGCTATAAATCAATGAGGTTGTTCATTGTGTAAATCCAAAGCACAAAAGAGGTAATCTGAACACAAGATTTTTTAACATCTTACTTTATATTAGAACAGGAACACATAGCTGAGTTTTACTCCAGATCCTGGACCAGTAAGATTCTCAGTAAGTTATAAAGATGCATCTAAAGTTTCCACACCATGCTCAAGCAGATCTACACTGTAATATATATTGAGTACTGATATTAGCTACGTAACATGTAGTTTGAAAGATATTAATTGGCTCTGTGCCTAACTTACATTTAATGCCATTTAAGACTCTGAAATGGATGTTACCAACCATTTACTGCAGCCTAAAGGTATTATTTGGATTGTTATATTTGTCTAGTGATCTGAACTTTAAAATGATTCTTTTGCGCTAAATTTTGAACCACTTCATTTTTTAAAATAATGAAAAAGCAACTTGACTAACCTGCTTGTTATTCTCATGGTAAGCTTGAACAAAGCACTGTGTAAACACCTGCATTATAGTCATTATTTCTTGAGCTCCATCAGTTTCCAGCAGTGCATTCCTGAGCAGTGAAAAGTTTAATTACGACAGGTCAGATTATGAGTGTGCCAATCACACAGTCGTTAATTAAGAGAAGGAGGGGGGGGAAACCCAAACAAGAACATTCTTCCCATGCCTTAAGTTTTGGTCTTCACTCATCTAACTTTTAGGCCCACTTGGGAAGTGAAGAAAACCCCAACTTCATTTTGCTTGCCTTGAATATGAATATATTAAAAACCTGTCTATTACTGTCGTTAGAACAAATCCTTCATATGAAGTTGGAACATTGTTTTTCAGCTGCAAACTCTTCAATGTCTACTGTAATTGAAGTACAGTTACGTTTCTTAGTTACAAAACCTCACACTAGAATATGTCTGTAAAAACCAAATGGTGAAATTGGCAAGAGAAAACATTCCCCACATTCTGTTACATATGCTTTCATTTCCCTTAATCCTCCATATTTAGATATACTGCTGGCTTTGGAAGTATAATTAATTTAATGAGTCAATAAATATGTTTTTGATGTGTAGCTCCACAGATCTCTGTCAGCAATTTCATATAGCAACTATGAAAGTCTTGGATAAACTATTTTACCAGCCTCACTAATTTACCAGTCTTTCCAATTCTGTAACTTCTAATGCTTGGGAAAGGAAAAGGGCTGGTTCTGGCAGGAGCAACCATTCAGTGACTATAACAGAAGGAAGGGGGAGAATAGAGCTCTTCATGCTTTCTGAACAAGAGTTCACCTTTCTAATCCCCAATTTCCAAAAATGGCTGCTATCAACATTCTTAATGGTATGTCTTTGCTCAGAAGGTGAACAGCTTCTAATGTACTCACTCACTCAAGGTGAAAGTCTAAATGAGTCAAAGAGTCTAATGATCAATAAGAGGTGCCTTAACCACTTAAAATAAATTAATTGTAAAGGAAGAGCATTCCATCAGAATAATCTAAGGAATGGGATTATGGAAGTCTCTGCTAATAAACCCACTCTCTTGAGTTCTGTACCTTACCTAATTCCCATAGAGAGATAAATCCCTAAAAGGATTTTTCTTTGCACCATAAAGTTAGCCATTTGTTTCAGATTTCTCATTATTTTAATTATCAGTAAGTAATATAAAATCTCCTTTGCATAAAATTTAATGCCTGGTGACATCAGAGAAACATCCATGCAATTTTCTATGAAACATTGTGAAGTGGTTTGTCACTCCCTTTTGGGGGGATTTAAAAAAAAAATCCAGTCTAATCAGCCCTGGAGTTTCCTAGTAGTTTCCCATCTAAGTCCTACCAGGTCAGATTCTGCTTGGTTTCTGAGTCCAAACAAGGCCATCCTGGTGCAGTGATATTACAATAAAACTGTTTACATTATATTTTTATTTAAGTAATATCAGAATATAAAGTAAAGGCAAAATCTTTCAAGTCAATCTCAAAAATAATATTATAAAAGAAACTGGAACAGTTTTGTGAAAAAGAATCATTGCAAAAATTCATCAAAAAAGATCTGAGGCCATCATGTGGAAAGTGATGAATCCTACTTAAGATGTACTAAAGATATCCATATCTGTGTATCTATGCATACACCCATATACACAAATACACACATCTTGAGATGTAATCATTCACTGCATTTAATTTGTGTATGTGTCTTGGATAAACTCCCTGGTTTACCAGCCTCACTAATTCTCACTAATTTACCAGTCTCTCCATTTCTGTAACTTCAAATGCTTCAGAAAGGAAAAGAAAAAGGCAAAAAAGGATAGAAAACTGCTGTAGAGCTGGCTGGCTCTGGTGGGTGCTACCACTCAGTGATTAAACAAGTAAACAAGAGGTGTATGGGTGGAAAGAAGAACTGTTCACACCCATATATGAATGGAAAGATGGAATTATTACATCTCAAGGGCTGAGTGACAGGTAGCATTAAGCATGTGATCCTAATGCTCTTATAGCATGAAAAGTAACTCTTCTTCAAGTGCTTGCTTCATCTGAGAAAACTGGGAAGATTAGTAAATGCCAGTGCCTGCTGAACACAGCGTTTATATTTCTGGCACTCCTCATTATCTACATCTGCAAAATCTGCTTATTTGTTCTTAAGATCTAATTATTCAATAATGACAATGGTAATGATAAACACTTGATGTATAAGCATATTTAAGAGATAGGGATTCTCAGGCATTCTAACTAAAGATCCAACAAGAAATAACATTTGTTATACAAACAACTGTATATAATCCAATCATTTTAGATCATTCTCCCTCCTTCATAAATTACATGCAAACTTACTTGAAAATTTCATCAATAGTTCTGAAGATAGCTGGATGACATGCAGCTCGGTGCTATGAAAAATAATATTTATTTTATTTTTTATTTTATGTTATTAATAAATTTATATGCCACCCATCTCCCCCAGAGGGTGACTCTGGGTGGCTTACAATTAAAAACCAAGACAATGAAAACAATAAAAATATAAATACCCCCAATTAAAACACAAATAACAAATTTATAAAAGCAATATAAAAATCAAGAAGATGGGGGAAGCAGCATCAATCATCCCATGAGCCAGCCCCAGCAATTCGAGCCCCCATCAGGCCCCCAGACCATCTGGCATAGCTATGTTTTTACACCTTTTTGGAATCCCAGGAGAGTGGGGGCAGCCCACACCTCAGCTGGCAAGCTGTTCCACAGGACGGGGGCCATGGCAGAAAAGGCCCTCTTCCTAGACCCCGCCAGCCAAAATTCCTTGATTGGCGAGGTCCGCAACATGCCCCTTCTGCCAGACCAAGTGGGGCAGGCAGATACAGTGGGGCAAAAAAGTATTTAGTCAGCCACCAGTTGTGCAAGTTCTCCCA